CAGCTTTCTCTGGAATCTCTATTTTTTAAACATTTAAAAATTTTTTTCAGTAAACAATATGTTCCAAGATAGATCCGACTATAATATAGATTACTACTACTATAATATAGATTACTACTTTACATTTATAGAATTCTTATACTAAACATAATTTAATAAATTTTTACTTGGGTGCATTTATTATCACTTACCCTGGATGAATATAATTAAAAAAAAAGAAAAAGAAGATTAAATCCTCTTCAAGACCTCAATACCAGTTACTACCTGGACAGAAATAAGATGAGAACTCTCTCACCCTTCCATCATCAAATCTATATTTTTATTTTCTCTTTAGAATAGTCCCTCCTTTTGAACTCAAGATTATATCCCCTCTCACTTTTTTTTGTAAAGGACTTGATTCCAGTAATTACTACCTCCATGGTACATTATCAACTTTTAAACTACCACCAAATTATTCCCATCTGCAAATAAGTATGCTTTAATATTCCATCTAATATTCCCCTCCACTCCTGCCCTGTTTCTCGGATCCCCAGTCATGATATAATTCCTTAAAAGAATGGCCTATATTTCTGGTCTCAGATTAATTCACTCTGGTTCCATTTTCAACCCATTTCTCTTGTTCTTTTGTCTCCATCATTTAATGAAACAGTTTTACCAAAGTAACCAAAGGCCAACATCTTGCCAAATACAAAGGTCAACTCTGTCTTTATCTTACTCTTCTCTCAGCAGTATACAACCATCTACCACTCTTCTTTCTTGAACTACTCTAGGCTCTTCTTTACTGATATGCCATGTGATATCATTCAGTCTATCAGCTTAAAAAAAGGAAGGAAAGAAGGAACACTCTAAGAAAGAAAGACTTTAGTCCTGACTTCACTACCAAATATGAAACTCATATATCCACTGTCTACCTCATAGATATCCCTATATTTAAAACTCTACTTTTATGACTTGCTCCCTCGACTCTAGTACTCCTTAAACAGAGGGATGGGATAGGAAGGGAGGGAGCATGGGGTTAGAAATGATGGTGAATGTGATGAACATTATTATGCAAAGTACATGTATGACGACACAAATTGGTGTGAATATACTTTGTAGACAACCAGAGATATGACAAATTGTGCTCTATATGTGTAATAAGAATTATAATGCATTCCACTGTCATATAGAAATAAAAAAATTAATTAAAAAAAGCATATCACCAGCACCCACACAATTACTGAAACCAAAAACATGAAATTTATTCCTCATTCCTTCACTTATACCACATTGAACACATCACCAAGTCCTGATGACTCTATTCCCAAAATATACACCAAAACTATCCATTGCCTGCATCTTCATTATTACTACACTAACAGAGGCCTACTACATAAAGAGAGGTCTCCTCTTTATGGACTATAATAGCAGTCTGCTGGCTTCTCTGCTTAAAAGACTCATTCTCTTACAATTCATTCTATTCTCCCTGGCTGGTTTCTCTGATTAAAATACTATTTCTAACTCCTAATCATGCTGGCAAGACCCTTTAATAGAATCTGCATGATCTAGTACTGATTACCCCTTACCCTGTTTATGAAAACATGCTTCCCCTTGCTTCTTCACTACTTTCTTAAGTATAGGTCTTTCTGCTCCTTGAGCATGCCAGTACTACTCTTAAGATCAGAATTTAAGAAACAATTAGCTCCTTGTTAAGGATTTTTTTCTGAGAGGGCTCCTATGATATCCTCAGAGTAGCCTCCACTTGCAAGCATTCTTTATCCCATGGACTTATTTTCTTTGTATCACTTATTTCCATTTTTTTTTATTATTAGTTGTTCAAAACATTACAAAGCTCTTGACATATCACATTTCATACATTTGATTCAAGCAGATTATGAACTCCCATTTTTACCCCGTATCACTTATTTCCTTTGTCTATCTATAATAAAATGTTTTTGTTCACTGTTACATCCCAAGCATTTAGAAAAATACTTGGTAAGCACCAATAAATATTTATATTTATATTTAAAATATAAATTAGAAATATAAATAGAATATTTAGAAAAAAATAAATAAGCTTTCAAGAAAGTAAAAATATGGCTGGAATTTAAGAAAGAAAAAACTTATTTAACAAGCCCTAATGAAAATTCATTATCCAGGATCTAAAAGATGAGAAAGTGCATATACTGTGCTGTGAAGATGAAATACCTTTGATGAGTAATAAGACCATTCAATGTGAAAGAAGTGCTAAAACAACAGCAGATTCATATGCAATAGAATGAAATTCAATTAGTATATCACATCATAAGAAAAAAATAACTCACAAGAGTTACAGACCTAAATGTAAGAAACAAAACTATAAAACTCATAGAAGAAAATGTAAACCTTTGAGATAGGGTTAGGCAATGTTTTTTCACATGTGACACAAGAGAGACAAGTAACCAAAAAAAGAAGAAGAAGAAAATGAACTTCAGAAAAATGAATGAAAACCTCTTTATTTCAAAGAAAAATATAAAGAAAATGGAAATAATATAAATGGGAAAACATATTTGCAGATTATCTATCAGATAAAACACTTGTATTCAATATATATAAAAACCTATTGAAAGTGAACAACAAAAAAGACAAGAAACTCAATTTAAAATCAGGGCAAAGGATTTGAACAAATATCTTTCCAAAGAAAATACCTTGTTTGTGGGATTCTAATATGGTACATACACTTTGGAAAGTAGTCTGACAGTTCCTCAAACTGTCAAAAATAAGAGTTACCATATGACTAAATAAGTCCACACCTATATTAAACGTCAGAGAAATAAAAATGTCCGCATCTTCCAAAATATGTTCACAGTAGTATTATTTTTAATAGCTAAAAGGTAGAAACAACTCAAATGTTCATAAACTGATGAAGAGATTAGTAAAATGTAACATATCCAGACTGTGGAATCTTCTTTGGCAATAAAAAACAATACATTTAGAAAATGAAGAAGAATGCTTAAAATATCATTTTGAGTAAAAGAAAGTTACAAAAGACCACGTATTATACAATCCCATTCATATGTAATGTCCTACATGGGCAAAACTATGGAAAGTATATTAGTGGTTACTATGAGTTTGTGATGTGTGTGTGAGCGTGTAGGAATTGGGAATGACTACTAACAGATATGGGAGTTCATTCTGGAGAAATGAAACAGTTCTAAAACCAAAGCTGGATGGCTGCATAACTTGAATAAAGTAAAAAAACAATGAATTATGTACTTTTAAAAAAGATTAATATTGTGGTATGTGAATTACATCTCAATAAAACATATTTAAAAAGAAAAACTGAAGATATTAATAAGGTTAATCTTTCCAGATATAATATGTAATCATTTTTTTTCAATGAGCATTCATTCTACTTTTTCATTTATGAGTATTCACTTTCCCATTACATTTATGTAGAGAACATTCTCCATACAGATTGGCTAAATGTGTGCAGGATGCTTTTACTCTTTGGGCATTCAGACAGCATCACAAAAGAATGGCATGCAATATATTTGTTAAAAATAAAAGAGAAATAACTTTGAATTGCTAGTCAGAGAATAAACTTTTTTTTGAGGGGGCACTAGCCTTTTATACTGTGTATACATAAAATTTAGTAATCTTGGAGCTACAATCATTGTACCAATCAATGCTATCAGAACAAGTTTCCTGAACATCTGCAGCCCCAGTCAGAATATAGCATGTTCTCTTTTTTCTCCATTTTCCTTCTCTTGTCTATATTTGATATCTTGTTGACTTTGTGATAATTAGGTAAAAAGTGATAGGTCCTGACTGATATTGGACAGCTCAGTGATGGGGTAGGCCCAGTATTTTCTGATATGTTTCCTCTGTAAGATGCCCCATGAGGAAAAAGATAACAGCCTACCACATTCTGTGTGTCTGCCACATGGTCGTGGGTACTTATTGAATTAAAAAAAATTTCCTGCATTGACACTATATGAAGCAGTCTTTGATCACACCAACACCATTCTAATTCTTTCCCTTCTCATCTTTTATTTTGTGACATATAATTATATTTGATAAATGAATGTTTAACTGAACTTTGGAAGTGGCAGAAAAGGGAAGAATGAAAGAACAAGACCATTCCAACTCCTTAATTTATTTTCTCAACAACTGAGTTAAAGGTTATAAATAAATAAAATAGTCTTTTTTGTAAAAGGAGGACTGCTGCTGTGTATATCTCATACACTTTAGTTCACACTCTCTAATATCAAGGGTCTCTTTGTGTACTATAGTTGTTAGATTAAATTTGGATTCTCAGGTAAACCACAAACTCATTAAGCCTCAGCCTCCTCCTTTCAAAATTAAGAATAACAATAATATCTAATCTGTCCTTCAGGATTATTATATGATTAAATGGGGAAAGAGTACAAAACACTTTGATAAATAATTAAAGCATTATCAGCACAACATATAATTAACTGCAACTTGTATGCATTTCAATACTTATAAAATTTATTTAGCATATACCCATCAGATTATACTGGTTGATGTCTCCTGTGTATTAATTATCATGTAAAATTTATTTGGACTAAGATATAGCCCAGTGGTAGAGTGCTTACCTTGTGTGTGTGAGGCTCTGGGTTCAATTCCCAGCACCCCATCCCTCAAAACAAAACAAGACAAAACAAAACAAAAAAAGCATAAAATTTTTCTCAGAGAATGAAAAAACCTGCTAGTTCTTTACTGAAAATATATCCCATCACATATTCTTTTTATTTTATTCTTTTTTTCATTTATTATTTCTAAATCTTCAAAATTGTGAAATTACTTGCTAAATTTTTTAGCAAGTAATTTTTACTGAATTCTAAGATCCCAGTGTAATAATCCCTTAAAAAATTCTAATTCCAATTAAGGAAAGTGTATACCAGATTAATTTACGTAGAAGTTCTAAACTCTACAAGAATGCATTGCAACTCTCTGGTGTAGCACAATGAAAACTATAGTTTAAAGTTACCTTCCTGGTATTAAGAACTACTTACTTTTGCAGCACAGGATCGTATCACCTCCTAAAAGACATACAGTACAATAAAGAAGTATTCATAATTTCATTGAAATAAAGTATAAACTCTTTTCAATTCATTCAGATATTGACCTTGCAATAACCAAAAACAGCATTTGGGAGAGTTTATCACCCTGCAGTTATTACTCTGCATTGTTTCCAATAAGTTGGAAGGAGTATAAATTAAAGGCAGTAATCAACAGACTTGTGAGAGCCCATGTGTCTTCCTCAATAAAGACCTGTCTTCTCAATAAACCTGGAGTAAACACTAAAATTCTGCAGTAAAATACTAATGTCTAAAAGATACCCCAAATTAACTGTAGTATAATTACATCTATAAAATATCCATAAATATAATTTCTAAATTAATAATTTATACCAGGGGACATCTCAAAAACACCACTGAATGGTAAAGAATATGACTAGTGTTTAAAAAGCTAAAAAAGGAAACTACTTGCAATTCATAGGACAAGGCCAAGAAAAGATCATTTTTGAAAGGGAAACTAATAAGTCAACACATAATAGAAAATTACAAACTTTTCTCCTAAGGACACACCAAAAATACATAATTCAAATTAAGGTTAACCAGTATATATCATCAGTCTAGTAAAAAACTAAAGAAAAAGAGTAATAATCAACATAGGGTTTAGAAAAAAAAGAGTACTGAAAATAAAATATATCAACTTTTTATTCAGAAACTTCTAAGGAACTGTATCTAAAGGAGAGTAGTAATTTAATTACTGAAAGAGTGTTCCTCTTCTGGAAAGTGTGGATAATACTAGTACCCACTACTATCCTACAGAATGGTTTGAGGATTAAATAAACATGTAAAGACTTAGAACAGTGCCAGAAATATATTATGTCAATTATTACTTATAATGAAACAGATATTATCAATGGCCAATATAAGGTGAAATATCCTCTGAGGTAGAGAAAATTAATCAACTTTTCTCAAAACTGGCATAAAACATTTTTAAATTCATCCAATTCTTTCTGCTCTGATGCTACTTAATAAGTACCTCTGTGATCTACAGACTTAGGTTAGAATGGGAGGCTGATCTTAAGTTTCCCAACAGATGGGAAGGTCTACCTTTCATTAAAAGATATTTTTTCAGGTTTATTAATCAACTTTTTGTAGGATTGATTACTTCTAATAGGTAACCCAAACTCTGAGCAACTGTGGATACATTGGTAAGAGCAAATTTTTGGATCTGAAAACTTTTGAGATATATCTACCTGTGAAGTCTTATTGAGGTTGCAGAATGCCTTTTAGGTACTGCTATGGCAGCAACATACAATGAAGTCTAACTATGAGACAAACAATTTATATTTTTACTACATGTTAATGTTACCAAATCAGGGAGTTTTGATATGTCCTTTATTTGCTAATGAGCAAACACCTCTTAAATACCTTCTGAGCTGAATTTATTATACAGTTCTCTCTCTCTCTCTCTCTCTCTCTCTCTCTCTCTCTCTCTC